TTCAAAATAAATCTAATTATACAAAAGTACTTATTATAAATCTATGCATTGTATTTATCAAAAAATTAAAATTTATTTTTAAAAAAATCAAAGACTTATTCTTCTTATAAAAATTTATCAGTTAAATGATTCCTTTTATGATATATTTTCAAGTTACATTTGATCATATTAATACAAAATTATTCCAATTTCATGTAAGTATTTTTCAGCCTTTAGATTTTCTTAATAAAAGATTTAAACACATTTTTTATTTCTTAAAATTTTATTTAAAAAGAAAAAATAAATTTTGAAAATTTTTTTTTTCCTTTTTTTTCACAAAAATTTCAAAAATTTCAAAAATGTTTAATGACAACTCCAGACTAAATAAGTACCAAAATAAAACATCTGTTTTAAAAGAAATTATTAAAATGTATTATAAAACTCTTAAATATAATTACAAAACACAGAAATATACTAAATGCTCTTGTAAAAATATCACTATCACCATTATCATCAAAATCTTTAACACTATTGCAATTACATTTTTTACAATTATTTTATATATGATCTTTACAATTAATTAAACTTCACTTTTCCCTTTTTCCTTATTACCATCACTATTATCATCTTTATTATTTTCATCAACATCAATAATAACAAATGTAATACCACTATTATCACTACCATTATCACTACAACCATTATTACCGTTATTACAGTTAAATTTAAATCAATCAATAAGATAAATAATAATATTTTAATAAATTTACATTATCATTATAATTTTTAATTATTTCTAATCATTTTTGAAATTATTATAGTTTATTAAATACTTGTTACTATTGTAATTCTAAATATTGGTTAACAAGTGATTATATAGTAAAAAATTGCTTATTATTTAATAGGAGATCACTATAAAAGTAAGAATTTTAAAATCAATAATAAAATATTTATTTAATATGATTTTTTTAAAAATTAAAAATTAAAAATTTTTTTTATATTTTAGATAATGCTAATGCCAATGTCAATACCACCATCATAACTAATACTAATACTTATGCTAGTACTATTAAAATTAGCGTAAATTCTAGTACTAATATCAATACAAAAAAACTATTACCACTACTGCTAATACCAATGTCAATATCATTACCACTAATGCCAAAAAAATTTTAATATCAGCACCAATGCTAATGCCAATTCCAAAAAAACCAATGTCAGTACTAATATCAATAATAATGACAGCATCAATGATAGCATAACTGCCAATGTCAATGCTAAAAAAAATGTTAATGCTATTACCAATGCTAAAAAAAGCTAATGTCAGCATTAGTATTAATGCCAAAGTCAAAAAAAAAAGCTCAAAGTCAAAGCCAAAGCCATTGTCACTATCACCAAATTAATACCAAAGCAAAAAAAAACTGTTATTTGCAACTTTTATTTTTATTTTAATTTTAAATTTTTTTTATATTACTACTAATGTTTTGTAGCTTAATTTTTTATTTTATATACTACCAGATTAATTTTATTAAAAAATATTTAATGTGTAAATTTTTTGATAAGAGAGTCAAAAAATTTTTTTCTTTTTGAAAATACATTTTTTTTATGAATTTTAAAAAAATTTTATTTTTTAATTATTATCTAATAAATAAATATATATTTTTTTGAATTTTGGAAAACTAAACTCGTATAAATATTAATATTTTAAATAAAATTATTTTACTAATTTGATATAACTAAACTCATAAGAACTAAAATATTTATTATATAATATTATAGGGATAAGGAGATTGAAGACTAGTCTTATTAATTTTTACATTACATATATTTACTGTTACGTAATAAGTTTCTTAATAACTTAAAAATTATATTAATAAATTTGCAATCATGTATAGTCTAATTTTGATATAATAAACCTATAATATAACTTAGATTTCCTTAACATTTTTTTAAGAAATAGGTTCATAATATTTAAAAAGATTTTAATATATCAAATATATATAAAACTTTATATAATGTATATTGAATTTTAATAAAAAATTTTGATATAATAAATTGATAACATGGTTAGAGGTATGTATATAATAAAATAATATATGCTTGCTCTTAGTTAAATATAGGTTATTCTATAACTGTTGATTCTAAATATCATGTAGAAGTGGCAAACTTCATTCAGATTTTCTTTAGTAAATTCAGAAAATATTTTATAAAAAAAGCTGAATTAAGTTGAAAAGAAATAAGCAAAAATAATGGATTAGATAAAGGAAAAGGAAAGACAAAAGAAAAGACAATAGATAGAAAAATGATATATAAGAATGGAAAAAAGAAAAGATAAAAGGAGAGACAATAATTAGAAGAAATGATAAATAAAAATGGAAAAAGAAAAAAAATAGTAAGGAGAAGCTTATTGTGGTAATTATGAGACAGAATATCTTTCAGAAAATGTGGATCAGTTTAAATTAGAAGGTAATTGAAAGTAGTGAAAAGAAGGTAGATCAGAGTTCGAGAATTCTAAAAGATCAAATTATAGATAATTAGATTTAGGTTAAAATAGTATAAATAAATAAATTTCTTATCTTATTTTTATTAAGCCAAATGAGTATGTTTTTGTTTTTCTATACAAGATGAGGACTCCTGATTGTAATGATTAAAATTGCATCATAATAATTGATATGATATCTACTAAGTTTACTAGTATTAAAATAATCAAAGTGTACATAATTACACTTATGTTACTTAGAAAAATTATTCTCAAAGTATATGATACAGTTATCTTAATATGATATCTTCATAATCAGAGACTCTACAAGATGCTAAATAACATAAACAGTTAGTGTCACATGATTTCTATTTAAATAATTTGTCATCCTGTATTATATCTTCCATATTTCATTTTTACTATATATTTTAAGGACAAATTTTTTTAAGTATAAATCATATTTGTCATATGTTATTTGTCACATTCTTAATTTTAACCAAAATTTATAATTCTGGCTAAAATGCCTTTTTTAGAATGTTAGGTAACTTTACACAAATTCAAAAGGCAATTTTGATTTTAGCAAAATCCAAATAGGGTTATATGAATGTCTAAAAAGGGAAATTTGTATTACCAGTGATCAGTGATATGCATTTATACTTCCAATAATATGAAATTTGATTGGAAGCTTCCAATCCAAATGAATTTATTAGAGAATTATGCTTCCAATCCTTCCAAAAGTGCTTTTAAGGGTGCTTCCAATCTTCCAAGTGCACATTACTGCCGGTGATGACCACCAGTGGTGGTAAATAGTAAACTCCTAAATTTAATTTATAAATTGATTTTTTTTTCATTTTTAAATAATTAAATTCTTTTTAATTTTATAATTTATTAATTAATTTAATTTTTTTTAAATGTAATTTATTTATTCAGTTTTCTTAATTGTTAAGCAGAAATTAACGTTAACATTAAAAAAAATAATACAAATTATTTTATAATCGCGGGGTTTTATTTTTAAATTTTTTTTTGAATTATTTTTTTTTTATTTACAGCTATTTTCAAAAGTTGCCACTGTCGGATTGTTCGGAAATGTCGGAAATGTCGGAAATATCGTTGCCAATCAAATGATTAGAAATTTTTCGGCGTTCAATCAAATTACAGTATTAGCGCCAAAAATCGCCACGAATATTTTTTTTTTAAAATTTCTATTATAGGTGAACATAAAGAAGCTCTACCATAAGTTTTTTCACATAGTAAACAAATTGGTCGCATTTAAACGGAAGTTTAATGAACTATTCATTGTTAAAGTTAAATAACGTGAGTAAAAAAAAATTGAATACGTATTTATTTATATTTGATTGGTGCTAACTGATTTATAAATTTGATTGGCGCCGAGAAATTTCTAATCATTTGATTGGCACCGACATTTCCGACATTTCCGAACAATCCGACAGTTAAAATTTACACGTCCCGCAACTTTTGAAATTAGCTGTAATTTATTTTTATCGGATTTAGAGTGTTCTCAAGCACCTAACTAAATGAATCGATTAATCAAAATCGAAAATCGATAATCGCGATTAAACAATCCCTAGATCGATAATGATGATATTAATGGAATTCGACACCACCGACTTTTTTGCGCAACAACGATGAAGTTCAAGATCGTACACTTCCTCGTAGATACTGGATCTCCAATGACCCATGTCTGCAAGGATGTATTAAATTCATTAGGTGTGAATTCATAATAGACAAATTTTTAGTTATGATGTCACCAATAGTTTATTTCAATGAGTGCTTTTCTTTAAAGTTTGATCAATTGGAGGTAAAAAAACCTGACCAATGATTGCTATCTTCCTTTTATCAAAATCCATGCACAAATATTTATAAATGAATTTATTCAGCAAGAATCTTTTATTGCTTATTTGCTTATAATTCGGCATCCTTATTCTGAGTCTCATATTTTTCAAATAAATAAAAAATATAACAATTATAATTGCATACATGTCAATCTGACGAAATATTATTATTTTCATTGAATGAATATAAAATATAACGAAGAAATTTTTAAAGTCGAAGCAAATAATATTAGTGTGAAAGGCGGGGCGAAACCTTTAAAATGAGTTTTGCCCCGCAATGTTAAAGTCGATAAGAATGATACAATAAATGCAAGCTTCTTTTAAAAGCTAACATTAAAAATGAAATTCCACGCGTAAAAAATTAAATTCTCGCAACAGTTAATAACTATGCTCAAATAGAAGACATACCAAGAATATTTTCACAAAATTTAAGAAAAATTTAAAAGTAATGGGATCGTACACGATACTGTATCTCTTAATTTCTTTTGAATTTGTCAATACAATTTTTATTTCTTTATAATAAAATTTTCTTTACATTTTTTTTTTTTATTTATACAATAAATAATATTCTAAATTAAATACACTTTTTTTTTTTTAAAAAAAAAAAATTTTACAAAAAAAGAGTAAATTATATGAATTATCTAAATAAATTATACCCAATATATATATATAAAAATACAACTCCCAAATTAAACATTATATTTCATCTCTAATGTCTTATCATTGCCATAAAATCTTTCATATCCATTGTTTACGTTTCCACTCGCACTTGTGTTTGTATTTCCGTGTTCACTACCAATCAGTTCATAAGAAATACCACCACTACCGCTTCTTGTTCTATTATTATTAGAAGGACCAGCGACACCAATACCCATTGCATCATCAAATGGCCCAAGAGAAGAATTGTATAAAGGTACACTACTTCTTCTTTCCAATGGTTGATATTCACTAACGTCATTATTTCGTCTCCCACCATTATTATTATTACTTCCACCATCAACTCCAACGTTAACTCCACTATTAACATGTCTTGAATTATCTTGATGTCGTTCTTGGCTCAGCCAAGAAGAAGGTGTTCGAATTGTAGTTTGATAAACTTGATCTAAAGGCGTTAAAACATATTCCACTGTTCTTATTTCAGTATTATTATCAGGTAAACTGTCACTTCCATTACCATTATATTCATCACTATCATTATTTAAGTTTGTGTATTCTGAGGAATAGATCCGTTGATTCATACGACGATCTTGATAACGTAAAAACATATGATAAGAGCGACCGAAAAATATACAAATCCATAATAGAGAAGCAGAAACCAAATTCAAAAATGGAATGATACTATAATTAACAGAATATATTATATATATTATCTATGAATAAAAGAGGAAGTTATTATCAATTAAAAAATTTTTTTAAAAAAATAATAAATAAATAAAAAAAGTTTCGTGGCTTAATTTACTTACTTGAATGATTAATTGAGGAGTATCTTCAATAATAAAATTCCATATACTAACTATAAATATCCATTTCTCAGTACCCGGAGAAATAGGAGCATCAAAAGCATCTAAACCGGCCAGTTTAGAATTTATCATGGTTAACGAATCCACATCAGCGATTGAACAAACGGTAAATATAGCGGCGACGTTATGGTAAGTTCTAAACCATTTATAGAACCTTGTATTATTTGATAATTCTCTTATTAATATGAAAAATGTGATTAAAGTATTAAGTCCCAGTGGTATAATAAACGTAAGTAGACTAGAAAAAGAAGAGAAAAAGATTATTTATTTTATTTTTTTTTTTTTTAGGGGAAGGCGACGATTAAATTTCCATGAGATTGTTGTTTACCTTGGAATATATAAATGCAACACATCCCTCGAGTGAGCCAAAACGAAAGCCAAGTCCAATCCAAAGTCCAAGGCGATCAACAACACTTTGAATGCAACAAAGCAATTTCCCTGTAAAACAAAATAATATCTGTTAATATATATATCATTTACCGAAATACCATAGTGTTTGTTTACTAACGTCTTCATATTTCTTATAAGAAAATATAGCCAGTATACCAAGTAGTAATAACGTTGCACCAAATGCTAATAATTTAAAGTCATATTTTTCCCATACGTTCTCTAATAAATAAAGACAATTTAAATTAATATTATTAAAGTCATAAAATTTCTTATAAGTTAGAACATACTTTTCCGTCTAAAACCATAAGTGCTATCTAACAAAGCAGTATATGGATAATGAGAAATAGGAGAGATTTCTCTATCACGGATCATTTCATCTAATGTTTGAATGATATTATTAACGCTAATATCTTGTTCATCCTTTACCGCTAATATTCTAAATTTTAATAATATTTGTTTTGAATCAACATCAGGATCCCATTGACTATGACTATTTGTTCGCATTCTTTCTTGCGGTACAGGTACACATTTAGCTAAATAATGTAATAAATTTTGCACGAATTCAGATTGTTGATGAAAATCTAAATTATCAAAATTTTTGGACGCATCGCTTGTCAAACGAACCAATGCATGTTCTTGTGCTTTTATGACAAAAAAAAAGGAGTGAATATTAGTAAAGACATATTTTCGATTAAATTATGACGGAATGACCTACATTTAAGCTCTTCTTGTATATTTTGCTTATTATCGGTAGAAAATCGCCATATATTAGAACTGATTCCCATTAACGGTTCTTCATAACTTAAATCTTTAACGGCATCATCATCAATAACAACGGTATATTTACTATTTGGCATATTAAATGTATGGTTTAATACATTTAATGTAATGGTTCTTTTATCTGGTGATAGCGTTACTTTCGGACTTTTTGTTTGATAACTTTGTCTTAAAATTAAATTATCTTCATCGTCTTGTTCATATTGAAATATAGATATATTCCCTGTTGATAATAGTATCGTATTGCTATAAGTAATATTAATAGAACGCGTTTCTGTTTCTATCTCCGTTGAAAAAACACCATCGATTGTTGGATTTGTTGCATTAATATTCAGATTATTATATTCATTGACTATAAAATAAAAAATGATTAATAATAACCAGTCACGAAGAAAGGAGAGTGACTAATAGTACACTTACCGGATGGTTGTGGTAACTCGTTAATGGTGGCAGTCATAAAGGTCCAAGTGTCCGGATAACTAGTTTCTGATTGATAATATCCATCAAAAAACATCCAAACGGTATTATTTGGAAATACACCATGTGGAGTAATCGTTTGACCATACATTTTAGGGCAATCCCATACAACATGCCACTTTCCATTACTATCATAAATGTTTCCCGTAAAATTTACTTCAACCTTATTTGAATTTACGCTAAATATATAACCACCATTATGTAGAGGATAAATATAATCAACTAAAGAACCATCAAACGCGATTTTAACTGTATTTTTTGTACTTCCGTTTGAAAGAAATTGAATTTTAACATAACTAATACTACCATCAGTATGTTGTATCCTGATAATACATGCCAATCCCGGTAAATCGTATGCATAATCGCACACTTCTATATTAATATCAATAACTTGTGTTGTTATCGAATAAATTACCGATGGTTTTGTGATTTCTCCCGTATATGGCCTTATAAATTTTACAGTAACCTCCCATAATGGTACTATTGGAACCTCTTCTACATTTTCCGTTGCATCTGGCTTCTGTCCTGCAGAGACAATTCCGTATCCGCCGTCTAACGTAGGAAACACTTTGTAGTTCTGTCCAGATAATTCTGATTCTTTTGTCGTCTCTTGAGTAAATAAATTCTCGTCATTACTAAACAAAGGAAAAAAAGGATTGTTAATTATAAATTTACAATCTCCTGGTTATGTTTAAAGATTACTTACGGAGCGGAAAAGTTTGTCCATCGTAGAATATTATTTGGAATGAAATTAATCCATATAAATCCGCGTTGTGGATTAGAATTGATTATCGCTTCACCTAATTCTGATGTGTCCGTGGATAAAGTTAATTCTCTAAAATAAATAAAAAAATAAAATGAATAAATTAAAAATGAGTAATTGATACATCATTTATTGACTTCTCACTTCCAACACCTTTACGGTTACCTGAATATTTGACCATCCCAATCCACAATTAAACCCATTTCTTGACGCGATTCGTTTACAATTTGTACATATCGAACCAAAAAGAATCGACGTTCGAGCGGATATATTTCAATTAAATTTTTACTATCATTTCCCTGTTTACAAAAATTAAAATCGGGTATTGCATAATCGAAGTTGATGGGTTGCATTTTATTATCCTTATAAACTAGTCTGATATTTAGTTTTGGCTCATCGCATGTTGAATTTATATGATTTGCCAATCTTACAATTATTGGTCCATTAGGATAGTAACTTTTCGCACTATGTACATGAGAATCGTAAGCCTCTACATAAGAAATTACTCGATATTCAGGTATAATTTTTGTGCTTTTAGGTCTTGGCGATTTCGATGGCGTATCGGGCATTTTTGGTTGTCCCTCCTTATCATTCACTTTTCCTTTTACTTGTTCTTCCTTCTCCTTCTCCTTTTCTTGTTCTTCGTTCTCCTTCTCCTTTTCTTGTTCTATGTCTTTCTCCTTCTCCTTTTCTTGTTCATTAGCATTCTCCTTCCCTTTTTCTTGTTCTTCCTTCTCCTTCACATTTTCTTGTTCTTCCTTCTCCTTCACCTTTTCTTGTTCTTCCTTCTCCTTCACCTTTTCTTGTTCTTTCTCCTTCTCCTTTTCTTGTTCTTTGTTCTCTTCCTTCTCCTTCTCCTTCTCCTGTCCTTTTTCTTTCTCCTTCTCCTTCTCCTGTTCTTTTTCTTTACCATCCTCCTTTTCTTTTTCTTTTTCTTTACCATCCTCCTTTTCTTTTTCTTTTTCTTTACCATCCTCCTTTTCTTGTTCTTTGTTCTCTTCCTTCTCCTTCTCCTTCTCCTGTTCTTTTTCTTTCTCCTTCTCCTTCTCCTGTTCTTTTTCTTTACCATCCTCCTTTTCTTTTTCTTTTTCTTTACCATCC